TTCCTGAGCCACGGACAGGTATCTGCCCTCAGAGCTGCACGCAGTGCGCCCTCCTGACAGGGACCCAGACTCGGTAGCCCGGTTTCCAAACTAGCGCACGTAACCATCACCCTTGGGGGAACGCGACCCTAACAAAGCCAAAGCCACCACGTGAAAGCAGCTGCAGCCTTCTTTTGTGTGCATGTTTCACGCAGTTCTTTCCTAAGGAAGACTCCAAAACGCTCCTAACTTTTTTTCTTTCTCGTCAGTACCTTGCCAGCTGAATCGGGAGAGGCACGGCGCTGCAGCAGGAGTTTTGCCACTTCCAGGCTCCCATATTTGGCCGCCACATGCAAAGGTGTGAATCCCTTCTGCAAAAATCCAAGAGATAAAAAGCAGATGTTTGTGTTAAAGGTCATGCTGGCATCTCTCTTTTAAGACCTATGTATTAACTGGTTACTCCTCAACCTATATTCTAGCTCGCAGTATCAGTAGCCGTACCTAGAAAGAGCATCATCTCTTGAAAGCACTTTGAGAAGCATGACATAGAAGAAAACACTTTCCCTTTTATTATTCTTTCCTGTGCATATACTGTCAGGCTGGCAGACATTTTATCTGGTACAGACTCTACTAGCAGCATACACTGTGTGTGGGCAATGAAGGCACTTGTTCAAATTTCTACTCCACACCAGCCACGCTTTTTAGTTTCATGATGACAGCTTTAGAAATATTTCCTGTATCAATTGTTGCCAGTAACAATGAAACACTAACTAAATTCAGTGAGAAAAGCTCCAAACTTCGTATTCCTCCTTCAGAGTTTGTTGAGGAATGATTTCTATTTGGGCTCATATCCATACAGTCACCAAGTTCTGCTGCAGCCTCTGAACTGCAGCTAAAAGAAGTCATGCCTGACTCAATCAATGGCAGTGCTTTTGGAAATGCATTGTAGCAAGACTGAAAACCTTGTCTTTTAAAAATAATCCTTTTCTATTTGTTGTAATAATACTTGTCAGTACAGCACCGGTGTAAGGTCTGTGTCAAACTAACATGCTCTTTGCCTGTTCTTTTAATTTCAAAAAACACGTTGATAAGGAAAACTCCTGGATACAAGACAGTAGGTGGCAGACTGCACCGCTGCCCTGACAGTAATTCCGGGGAGCTACAATGACCTATTTGCCCGACACATAAGTGATGTGTAATGTCTATTACCATTATCATCTTGTTCCATTAATCCCACCTCAAAAAGAGTTTACATCAGGGAATCTCAAACATTTCCAGTTCATGCATCACAGGTTTGTACAGAGATTATCTAGTGGACTACAGCTCCTCCTATTCATAATTATAGGATGTTCCTGCAGTACTAAAGCAACTGCCACAAAGCAATATGGGAAATTAGGAAAGTATTTAGTGTATTTTTAGCCATTCTAATGTGATTTAACAGCTGCATAAAAGGAGAACAGCAAGCATTCCCAGTAATCCGGGGATCATAATTTGAAAATTGCTGGTTTAGTCTTCTAAACCCTGGAAGACACCCCATTGTTCAAAAATATGTTTTAAGCTTCAGCTGTAAAATCAGGAGTACTTTTTAAAGACCTAAAACAATACTAAGAATTAAGTGATTCTCACTTAATCACATGTGGTAAATTTGGAAAAGATACCTCAGCACATAATTCTATTCACAGCTATCTTGTTTTCTTACATGTTCATCATTCTGTTAGGAATCTATTGGTAAACATTTTTGGCTAACAAAACAATTATTTTGCAGACTATTTCTTTTATAACCCCAGACAAAATGGCCTGTTGTGTCATATGACACTTCATTTATAGAACCACTGAAAATAGATTCAACATTAGATGCAACTGGACAGATGCTGACTTGTATGTTTTAGGAAGATCCCTTCCAGCTAGCGCAGACCAGAATTATTTTACTATTTAAATAAAAAATGAATTGAAGAATAAGCAGGCGTGTTCATTTAAAAAGTGTCATCGTCATCCCCTTGTCTTTTTTGAAAATTTTGGCCAAAAAAGCCCTACCCATAACACAATGGGAAAGAGACAAGCAAAGACTTCGTGTACATTTTAAACCTGTTGGGACCGTGTATTTATCACAATCTGCATTTGGCCCCAGTGGGAACCAAACTGCCAACTTTAGATGACAGTGAAATATGTCAAAATTCGATTAACTTCTGATACATTACTTTAGTCTATTGGATCACTGTTGATTAAGTAAGAACCAAACAAAAGACCCAAACTAGCTCAATTTCCCAGTGTGAAAATGCATTCCTCATGGAACACACGTGCGCTGGCACGCACTGCGTGTGCTACTGGAATACAGACATAAAGCATTTCATCTTACTTTGGTGGACATGGAGTGCGAGGCACCTGCCTCTAGGAGAACTGATGCGACATCAACTTGTCCCTCTCTGGCAGAGATGTGCAGCGGAGTGTACCCATTAGTTGTTGCAGCATCAGGGTGGGCCATGTGCTGTAGCAGAAGTTGGACGATCTCCGTTTTACCCAAGCGAGAAGCAATGTGCAGTGGAGTCTGTTCTTCCTACAACTCACATCGAGTAGATAATTAGTGCAGGTAGAACCACCCCGAACACAATATTCTGGCTGATCCCAATAGATCTATCTATGCATTCGTCTTGCAAAAATCATAGGAAGGAATAGTACAAAAAAAGGCAGTAATGGAGGGCTCACGGGTTAATTTTTGTGATAAGCTTCAGCAATGTCTTAGTACAACAGAGAGAACTATGAAGAAAAACATTTTTCCTTTTATCAAGCAGATAGCATGCATCGCTGTGAGCATTACTTTCTCCCCTTTGAGTTCTTCATTTGTTTTACAACAGCTGTACCTTGCTCTACAAACAGTCCCCTTGGTTTCAAAATCTGGCACAAACTGCTATCAGAACCTCTGATGTTTGGTTTTAGGACATGGCTGTGCACCTCCTTGCTCAGACAGAATAGCTATTGCTGGTCTGAGTCAGGCACATTGTACTGGGTCTGGCCAGGATGGAGTTAATTTTCATCACAGCAGCCCATATGGTGCTCTCTTTTAGACTTCCGACCAAGACAGTGTTGATAACATACCGGTGTTTCAGCTCTTGCTGAGCAGTGCTTACACAGCACCAAGGCTTTCTCTGTTTCTCCCTCTGGCCCCCCAGGGAATAGGTTGGGGGTGGCAAGAGGTTGGGAGGGGACACAGCCAGGACAGCTGGCCTGAACTGACCGAAGAGATAATCCATGCCATATAACGTCACGCTCAGCAATAAAACTAGGGGGTGAGTTTTTCCAAAGGAGCTGTTGCTCGGAGACTGGCTGGGCAGTGGGAGGCGGTGAGTGACTGCCTTTGCGTTGGTTTTGTGGGTTTGGCTTTTTGGTTGCTTTGGGTTGTTAGGTTGTTTATTTTGTCTTTCTCCTTCACCTATTAAACTGTCTTTATCTCAACCCAAGAGATTTTCTCACTTTCGCCCTTCCAGTTCTCTCCCTGATCCTGCTGCGGGGTCAGTAAGCAAATGACTGAGTGGGGCTAAGCTGCCAGCCGGGGTCAGCCCACTGCACGCGTTCTCTTTGGAAGATCTATGCATAAATAGGTTACTGTTTTCAGAAACGTTTTTAGGTGTGCCTAATATTGACTCAACAGATCAAATAAAAATGAAATTGCTCCTCCATAGCTCCTCTACTTCAGCTATGTTTTTGAGTAAGAGAAAGCAAAAAAAATTGTAAGCAGAACACCTACCCTGGCTCGGGCATCAACCAGGGCCCCGTTTCTCAGGAGGCAGCGAACTACTTCCACCTGCCCAGCACGTGCCGCCATGTGCAATGCAGTTTCTCCACGCTGCAGAAAAGCAAAAGCGTTTCAGTGTCCTAAACCTCCATGAAGAAACAGAGCTCTGAGGGTGTAAATTCCACCCATGTCAGTTCGTGCCGAGACCCCCCTTCCCGCCAGCTGAGAATCTGGCTGCAGCCCCAGTAAGAGGCAGGTCAGAAGGGCACATGTGCATACACGCTGCTAGGCCTGGGTACGCTTTGGTTTGCAAACTCGGCGATCCCAGACAAACGTAATCTCACTACAGAGTGTCAGAATGAAAATCCTGGCTTATAGAAAAGTCTGCCGTATAGAGTCCCCTGGTCACGTATGTTCCTCAGCTTTCTACATAACAGTGCATCAGCCTGTGTGCCGCACAGGAGGTAAGGGTATATTGAGCCTGTCTCTCCCGAGGGATTGTGAGGCACCTGAGCTTCAAGATGGAAGAGGATATTTTTCCAGATGGTCCCTTCCTGCACACTGTGTGGAGCTGGCAGCATTAAAAGGCCTTGCAATGGCTGTGCACAACTGAGTCAGCACATGAAATCTGTAAAATCTGTGCTCAGCAGCGTGGCTCTGTCTGCAGGCTATGGAATGAATCTTGTTTCAGTCCTTTTGTAGCCCACAGAACTTCAATATGAAATTTTGGAAAGCTGACTGGAGCGATATGGAATTTCACATCAGGATAATGAAGTATGGATGATACATTCAAAGCATTTACTTTTTGCATAGGTTTCCAAAGGAACGCTGAAAATGAGTATTCCTTGACGATGGCGTTTCTAGCTTAATTTTGCACTGTCCAACATTCCATGAGTGCACTGTCCTGAAGTGGACTAAATCAGGCCCTATGCAGCTCATCGGTATCTGGTACAGTAGGCACTGGGACAGTTCCACAACCAGGAGCTCTGTATTCATCTGCTATGTTACAATAACACAGCAGGACTGATCACTTCTGTGTGTTAATTGTTCCTTCTCCTTACTCTACAGCTGGAGTGTATTCTGTTGTAAGGCTTTTACCCCCACGACTATGAAGGTAAACTGCAACTGCCAAAATGAACACTCTGGTCAAGATCTTTTGCATCAGAATCAGGAATCATGTCATCTTGTCCTTCATCTAGATGTAGGAAAAGAAGCAGCCTGAGCTTGCCTACTATTATGAACTTCTAATTAAAACAAACCCTCTTCACCAGGAGTTGATTTATCTTGTCATTTTAAAATTAACATTGTATTACCAGCTGTGATTATTAAGTAGGCAACAAACAAAACTCCATAGCCCTAGCTACGAATCATAATAGAGAATTTCATCTATATAAACTTTATTACCTGGAGAATGAGCTGTTTAAAATGTGAATAAGGTTTACATTTCACACACTCTAAAGATCAAATTTCTATAAAGACCCTTTTGTACTTGAATTAGCAAAGCAATTTAGCTTTTGGAAACAGTCAGTAATTCATCAGGGAACTTCAGCTTACCAAGTAAAAGCCAAGACACCTGTGTAGCATAAATTGTAAAGTGTTAAACTTTGCACACAAATGTCTGGTAACACAATACTTCTAATTGTTTCCACAAGAATTTCTTGTTGGCTTTCATATCATCAATAAAGTCTTTATATAAAGATTGCTTCTATAAAAAAATATGAAAGCAGGAAGAGACTTTGTCAAGAAAAGTCTCTTCTAGCGATTCAAGCAAACAACCCTGTGTGCTCAACATTTTTACCGGTTCCATGTAGGATTTTTCTAACTGAGAAAAACTGATGAGTCCAGTGTACCTGGATGACAAAATTTTGGCGGTTGTTTTGTTGTTGGGAACACTTATCTATAACATTACTTACTGGTAAAAAGCTGCTTTCAAACTGCAGGTGGCCATAAATTGAATATTTGTTCATACTGACAAATTCAAACAGTAAGATATCTATGAAACACAGCCCTGAAAACGATCATGTTCTTTTTAGTGTTATTCTTCTTGGTAACTAGGCTATTGGTACACAAACACTGATTTCTATGGTAAGTCAGTTTCTGCATTTTGTGTTACCTCCCAAAGGTCACATTTTCTAGGTTTAAGCATGTTCTTTCAAAAGGCACCAGTTCCTGGAATTTCCTGTGTAAGAGGAACATCTTGAGTTTAACATTTTTACTTTCTATTCAATTGTTAGGTTTTAAGCATTTTATACCCCTTCACTGCTACAAATGACACAATTTCATGGCAGCCAGTGAAGCTATGCAAGCAGAAATCTGAGCCGTTTGGACTTAAATTTCATCCTTCAGAACGGAAACACAGTCTTCCCTGTGACTTGGCTTATAATCAGTTTTGGATGTATTGGGTGAGCTTTGTCTGTTTCTAAGGGAAACTTTACCTACTCAAGCATTGTTGAAGAATGCATGAAACCACAGATGGCTTATAATGCATATACAATCACCATTTTCCCCTCTTCACTAAAGGTGCTCCAATAATTTGTCCTAAAATGCAATAAAGTCATAAAGTATCATTAAAATGTGACCTTTGGTTGAGCTACATGGTAGGCCAGACCCTTTTCGGAGGAGGTACTGCACAGATGATTCTAGTCAAAGCCATACTCACAATGTTAGTGACATCGGGAGAGGCTCCGTTCTGCAGCAGCAGGAGGACTATGTTCAAGTGGCCCATAAATGCAGCCACGTGTATTGGTGTGAGGCCCGACTGCGAAACAAAGCAAGAGCAGTTTTACTCCTCTGCACGGGCGTAGGGAAGGGGCTTCTTCGTTTAAATCAAACATAAGTGGAAGTGAGGCATGATAGGAGAGAGAAAAAAGGAAGCAAAAAGGGAGAGAGAGAAGGAATGTTTCTTCGCGACATGAAACATTTTTCTACCTCTGTTATAGCCTGGATTGAAGCCCCATATTTCACCAGGAGTTCCATGACTTTGATGCGATTTTTCTTGCAGGCAATGTGCAGTGGAGTAAAACCATTCTGTGCAAAAGACAGTCATGTTAGTTAAAAACATGCAGCTACACTTTCCACACAGCTCCATGCTGGCACACTGGGAGCAGTGTTAGAGTACCAGAAGCAATTGTTCTTTAAGCACAACAGGTTATGAATTACAGACATCTCCCAGAGGTCTGAGGCAGAACAAAGCAGTGCCGCTGCTTTCTTCTCAGGCAATGGAGAGAAACTGAACTTCCACCTCCAAAAACAGACATGCCCCTTCTGACTTTCAGGTGTACGCGTGAGCGCGTGTATGTATGTGGTTCCAAAGTTTGCACATGTGTATGTAAGGGTGACTTAAAGATTGCCTAACACAAGGAAAAGAGAAGAAATTACAGTGATCACTTTGAAATCAGCTAGTGTCTTTTGAAATGTACAAAGCATATTCTGTACCTCTCCAGGAAAAGAACAGAGTACTTCCAGATTCCACCTTACTTTATTTGTCTTTTCAGAATATCTTGGAATCTAAGCATCTATGGGTATTTATTTTTACATTTATGCATCGATCTACAGTATACTGCATTCATGTTTGTGCACGTGTGTGTGCATTCTGTGAGGTACCTTAAATAAATAATCACTACTTCAGCCATGGTTTCACGATATAAAATGTTTACACTTCAAGTATTTGTGGCCCCCTTTCCTTTATTCCTGCCCTGCTGAGTCATAAAGCATCATAAGCAAGGTATCATCTGGATTAAAATTAAATGGAGCAGGGACAGGAATGAAGGGGGGGTGGGGAAGGGAACATCTTAAATCAAGATTGCAACCTAGCATTTTGTACTCTGAGACAGTAAGTTTAGTGTTGTGCTTACCATCAGCACATACTAATTCCTTTGGAAATGCGTATTCAGTAAGATTGAGGCCCAAATCAAAGCATGTCTTCATACTCTACACTGTAATACATGCTTGGACTTCAAGCTTTTTTTTATGTACTATTATAGTTAATGCAGGTTAATTGTGTGCCTAAAGCTAAGCAAACGCATTACTCACCGTATGTGAACATTTTAGTGAAAAGCACAGGTACCATTTTTAGATTGTGTTGAAAAATTGCTCTGTTTTCTAATGAAAAGGATCAGTATTGCTAAACAATCAACTAGCAGTAAACAGAACGTATCAGGGAAATCTTAGCTCATGGGAAGAAGCATGTGAAAGACTATGCTACTGTTAAGGGAAATGTTAATTACTAGTTGATTTGAAGGTGCTTTAAAGCATATACAAGTTGAAAAAGCTAAGAACTCATATAGTGCTTGTATCCCCAAATCATTTTGCAAACATTAACAATTTTTTTTTTTTAAATCTAGCTGAAAATGAATTCTTTGTAAAATTTATTCCATCACAGGAGTCTGCTGGATATTATTACCACTACTAGCCTTCTCCAATCTCTAAAGAAGGAACCAAAACAATTAGATATTTTACCTCCCACACAACATCTCTCAATATACTTCACAGGGAGTTTTGCTGTTTCAGAAGTTGCCATATTTTCACTTAATTTTACTGCCTGAGTTGATTTAATTTTGCTACTTCTATTTAAGTGAGGAACAGTTGGATGGGGGAGAGAAGACAGAAAAAATGTCTCACTAACAGAAATGATGAGCATCATTTAATATATTAAATACTATAAACAAGCCAGAGGCGACAAGTCCCCAATGGGAGAGGAAGGGAGAGAGAGGGGAGAAAAATCAGTCTGGAGGGAAGGGAGCAGAGAGGCAGCGGCCTGAGGGTGTTCTCCTTTCATTTCAGATGCTTCTCTGGGAGGGAGGGGGGGGAGGAACAGAAGGTGTATTTTTGGTCATGGAAGGAAAGAAAGAAGATGTGGGGGCTAGCATATAATGCGTACGTGTGGGTAGCTGAGAAAAGTACAGTTAAAGATAATCAGAAGACTGGCAAGAAAAATAAGAAAGGATGAAAACAGCATCGAAAAAGATCAACCAAGTGAATGTGATACTGAGAAAGACAAAACAAGAAAAGTGTAAGAAGAGGAAGCAAGAGAGGTTACGGGATTTGCAGGTAAAGGCCAAGAAAAATGAGAGGGCAGAAGAAAATTGCGTCAATAAAAAGTCAGTTCCAAGGAAGTAAGGGAAGTAAGGGATAAAGGGAGCCTTCACAGAAAAACACAGGGTCATACTGAAGGCAAGAAGGTGGGGAAGACATCAGAGTGGCCTGCGGTGGAAGTTTGGTGGAGGCACTGAATGCAGCAGGCAGCGTCAGACTTCTTGCCATGCAGAAGTATCTCAAGCTTTCACAGTCTCTTTCTTTCCCCCACTGAGTGTAATATGTTGGTATTTTAACTTCCATCCAGCTAGCAGTTCATGGGGACACTTCCTATTAGAGAAAATTGGAACCTTGTCTGGCTTTGGGGATAGATTAAAGACTCTTGAAAGCTTTATATGTTTCTGAAGCCAAATGTGATGTTTTTCTCTCGGTTCGGGGCTAATGACCTGATCAGTGAGCAAAAGGAATCATACCTGTTTTCCTGTAAGCATAAGAACAGGTTTTTGAAAAGGAAGGAAAGTGGCACCTAATAGAAGGGAATGTCATCATTTGATAAATGCAGAAGTATTAGCTTTTTAATATATTTTCTCCGTGCCAAGTAACTTACTGATTCAGTTGAAAGCTTAGAAATTATTTGTGTATCATACCACATAATAGGGAAAACTGAAGTATTAATTCAGTAAAATACCAATGCATACATTGGCATCAGCCAGAAATGGCTCTGATTTTAGGAACTCTTGTCAAGCTTCCAGACCGGATACTACAGCCACTCGCCATGGGACGTGGTCCATGACTAGGCCTAACGATACGAGATACCATGCTGGTAAGCAGCAGGTGTGACAAACCCTGTTGTTACTGCAATTGTTTAAGGTTGTTGGAGTTTGTGAACAGAGTTTTCACTTAGCTTTACTGGTAAGAGCTACTCATCTGCCCTGGATAGCTTTGTTACACGACACAGGTGGGACAGGTTTACCAGGGCACGAGCATTGGGATTTGCTCTCTTGTCCAGAAGAAGTTTGGTGACACGATAGTGGCCGCAGTGCGCGGCCACATGGAGGGCAGTCAGGTAATCCAGCGTGACATCATCCACGGGAGCTTTGTGCTGCAGTAGGTGTTTGACACATTCCACGTGGTCCCCCTGGGCCGCCATGTGAAGTGGAGAGAGTCCATTCTGTGGCAAAAGAAAACAGAACAGTAACTTCTAGTAACTCTCACTTAGATGGTGGCACATATTAGAAGGATGCCATCATGAGTTTGCAGAGTACACCCCATCACTGAAACAGAGCCACATCTGAGCTACAGACTGGAAGAAAAACTGAAAAAGTCCTAGTCCTGACTGGCAACATCTGCCTTTGAATGGCAACATCTGGGAACCCTGCCTGAAGTGTGCACGGCATATATGGCAGGGCCTGTTCTTCTGAGCCTCTCTACCTTTTAGGGAAGTGAGGGTGTTGGCACATGAGGTTCACTTAACCACCTTCTCCCACCAAAGGAATCAGTGAAAATATAAGGAATCTTTTCCCTACGATTCCCATCTCCCTGTGGATCACCCCTCCATAAACGCATGACCTGGACTACTTGGTGCTATCAAGGATGCATAGCTTGAGCACATCCTTATTGGATGGAGCGGATATGCTTGCAACCCAGTGATAAAACCTCCTGAAGACTATCAAAAGAAAATCTTGAGTCTCCAATAAGGATAACTATGAGTCAGAATACACTAATTGCCCTTGTTTTGAGCCATGTTGGAGGGAGTGGGGCCCAGTAAACAGTGCAATGGTCTGAAAGCGGTATTTAAATTGTTTATCGCTCCTGATCTTCCAGGGGACTTCAAGCATACCGTTGCAATACTCTATTCCACTGTTCTCCAACTAACGATACCAGCTACCTTTGTCAGGCACTCTGAAAGTTACTGACGTGAAGTGCTGCTCGGTGAGGTTTACCATTACACTAACAAGTATCTTTCTCATCAGTTTGACCAAAGGGACAGCACTTGTAGAAAATGCATTGATATTCGAAGTGCACTTTTCAGAAATCGGTAAGAACACACTGAAATCATTTTCCAAGTCTGAAATAGTGCATGAAAATAATCAGGAGAAGCTGCAAGTCAGAGGTCCTAGTTACCTTATATGAAGGATCAGAAAATATATACCTGGAATCATCTCTCAGGAGTGACCAACCCAGCTTTCCCATCTCTGTGTCCTACGGTCTTAGGAAGTGTTTGCAGTAGCACTGTATATCATGTGTTTAGTCTGCTATTATAGAGAGGGGCAGAGAAGTGTACGCTGTTTCATACATTTGGAAAGGATAGTTCCTAATTATGTAAGAAAACCTTATTTTGGATCATTCTACCCATTAATACATTTCCTTTGGGAGAACAGAAATGTTCCTGTCTTCTTCCTTGTCCTTTCAGTGACATTAAAAATTCTGTGGAAAGTTACATAGAGCTGTTAACATATTCTAACAAGACACACACCTTGGTCCGTGCAAGCAGCGGGGCACCTCGCTCCAGAAGCAGCTCCACAACTTGGTCATGTCCACTTCTTGCAGCACAGTGGAGTGGGGTGAGTCCATCCTTCAAGTAAAAGGAGTGAAAACAAATGAGCACATCCCCAACTGTCCGTCCTGGCACTCTGAGGAACACCCTTCCAGGAATGCAGCCCCACAAGTGTGTGAAGCAGCTCCTTTTTTTGGACTCCTAACTGAAGCTGGCTCCACAACGTGGTTTCATCCCTGTTCTTCCTTGCACCAGTAAAGGACGTTCTAAGGTTACCGTTTCAGAGAGGAAGCCCACTGTGTGTTGAGATTCCTTATCAAAGAGGACAATGCGAGCATCTATTGCCTCCTTGCCTCCTTCTCCTCTGCATGGCTTTGAGATTGTATTGCCTCTCCTGGGATAACGTGTGCTGGGCCAAGGATGCTCCACTAATCAACCCTTGTCCTTCGGATTGCTTTTGATGCAGGGATGAAACACAAAACGTTCATACTAGAAAATTTACTCTAGAATTTATTGCGTTTTTTTAAACAGGTAGCAGGAGAAACAAGATTTTAAAACGGAGAAGAAGAGAAAGAGAGAAACAAACAGAGCAAAATGCTTTTATTTCTGAGACTGAGTGGTGAACAAGAGCTACCAATTCTTTGCTAAAATTGCTGTGAGACCACCAACTCTGCAATATTTTTTCCGTTGCAGACCACCACCCTATGCCAAAAGACTTGCTCAGGCTACTCAGTAACGATCACAACAGTGGTAGCAAAAGATGTGTAAATGAAACATTTAGATAAGAGAATGTATTTGAGGTAATTCTGCTACAGTTTGGACTTTATGCAGAAAAATACAGGAAATACGAGGCAAGAAAAGTGGTTGCAAAAGAATATTAGTGCTGAACAACAGAAAAAAGAAAATGCATGAGATAGAAACTTAGGTTTTCATCTCATTATACCTCAATATTTTTCAAGCATGCACTCAGAGAAGTCATCAATACTCATTCAACAGAGATAGGTTTCTAAAGGTGAAAAGGTAATAGTTTTTAATCACAAGAAAAGCCTTTTCCCTTTGAGACACACTGCTCATCTTAGATGAGGTAGATGCTATTATTCTGGGGTGCTTTCTGAAGAATCCAGTAACAGCATGATTAAAAGATTAATATACTGGTCTGAGACAGATTTATTACTTAGAGGTTAAAGAAGCAGCAAAAATGCAAAACCAGGCCTGAGTATGAGTTAGTGACCCTGCTTCACACACTGATATACTCTTTGCCTTGCTGGAGTTTGGACAAAGTCTACATCACTATACTTTTACTTCTACTACTAATGTTTTTAAATTAAAAGTAGGTCTAGACTGCACAGTCCCATTGCAATGGCAGCATCATTTTGGCTATGCAAACATAGCCCTGTAATACTCTACAAAAGGTAGTTCCAAGAAGTAGATCCTCCCTCATCCTCGGTTTCAAAAGCACAGAGCACCTTTCTCAGTTAGCAGTGCCACAAAGCTCCATCGCAGGGACGAACCGAAGCCGGCAGGGAGGAATTTTTCTCCCCTACTTATCTACTGTTTCCAGAGATTTTTGAGAAACATGTGAAGGGCTTAGGTGTGCCTTGACGCTCACTATCTCAGAGGCATCGGCATCACTAAATCCCATGGAAGCTTTGCAATGACATTCAATAGATGCAAGATCAAACCCGCAAACAGAATTCAAGGCTGTTCAGCACCTGGCAGACTGGGTCAATGCAAAGGAATTGCGTGTAACTAGCTTATCTGTTTGGGGCTTTTTTCCCCTGCATTGACGCTTCAGAGTCCCCTAAAGCAAGTCTTTATATGCGCAACTGAGGTATATTTTCATCTCGCTGCCAGAGGGATTCACACACATAATTCCCATTAACGTTAGTAAGTGAGACTATATCCCAAACATATTTCTAAGGCAAGTATTTATTTGGTATTTCTTTCCAGTTTCTGGCTTTTGTGCTCTACGTTTTTAATCAGTGTGGGAGGTTCACTTTCCCTATCTGCATAGTGACTTTGATGTTATTCTATCTAATAGAACAGCAAAAGAAAGGTAGAATTGTGTGAACCCTTGAAAAAAATGGGACAAATCCCCAAAAAAGAAAGAAGAAAAATACAAGCTTAGAAACACATCATCTCCACAAGAAAGTCTAGCTAAAACAAAAATAAGAACTAAATCATTAAAAAGCATGATTTCTCCTCTGTTCTCCTCTATAATTCCCTCTAAAAGTAGAGATTAAAATTTGCTACCTATCCTATTCTATCCTGTCATAGCTTTTATAAATGTATCATCATTGACTACCTGTGCATCTTCCAGTGGGTGAATGAAGCATTATGCTTTGCAGCCTTCCGTATAACCCTCTTCTCCTCCCTCTTTCTGCCTTGGGGAAAATAGCATGTATATTTTAAAATTATTGTGTATTTAATACTTCAGATTCTATTTTTGCTGATGTGTTTTCTTCAAAGATGAGGGAAATTGCAAAGAAAGAGCTTTTGTAGCAGAAGAATTAGTGCATAATACAACGAGGACAAACTGACATTAGCCAACATCAGGAGACACACTGGTGTACCACAGTAGTCCTCTTTTGCACCATTACCTATTTGCAATGGACCTCAGTTCTCTGAAATCTATTGCAGGAGTTTGACTATGTACTTTTTTAGTCATTCCATTGCTAATTGGTACACCACGTACGTTGATGAACACATGCTGACCAAAATATCAAATCCATCATTTGACAGGACATACAACACTGGGTCGAAGAGACACGGACTTTGAAGCACAGATAATGGACATCCCATAAACACAAAGGCCACCACGCCAGCAGACAAGAAATTCAGCAATGTTACATTTTAAGAATATTTAATTATTTATAAATT